GCACCTTTAACCCCTGTCGGGCTTTTTTTTTTAATTTAATTTTTTTTTTTTTTTTTTTTTTTCCCCCCAAAAAATGTAAGTGCGGCTTGTAGCATGGTGCGCTATATAGTCCGGAAAATATATAATCCCTAGAGCTCTCTTGCTGTTTTTTCAATACTGCAGCAAATACTTATACAATTTGAACATTAGCCCATGTGATGTGGCACTATATGGCACAGAATTAAATAAAATTAAATGTGTTCATTATTAGAGGAAAAACGGTGCCAGTTTCAGGAAACTTTCACAGAAACTTTGCAGTCCCTCCACGGTGGGAACAAACGGTTCCTTATTGTCTCCCTTGGATAAGTTATGTCTGCAGGGGCAACTGATCTAAACTCAGTGCCAATAAAATAGATCAGTGTCTAATCTGTAGCTGTTCTCTGCCTTTTCAGCTACATGCAACTGTAGCAGAGATGGAGCAGGAGAAGTTTGAAATGCAGAGGAAACACACCGAAAACATCCAGGAGCTGCTGGACGACACCAACCGTAGGCTGGCTAAGATGGAGTCCGAGCACCACACTCGTTCTCAGGCCACTGTACGTATTATTAAAGACTTGTGAAAGTAGTTTAATGAGACGATAGAATATTATAAGGTTTTAAAAGTAAGAACTATGTGCTGTGCATTGAGGCATCCGTGTCCTAATTTTGCCTCTTTGGTCACATTCGGCTCTTTAAGACCATAAAAATAATATCAGACAGAGACAATTTCTATGAGTACATATAAAAATAACTTTCAAACGATGACTAATTTATAAAGGGGGCAAAGTTTTCTGAAGCAGCTTCTCACTGCAGGCCAACTTTGTCGGTTTATTTGTTAATCAGCCTGCAGGAATTTGAAGGCTGCAATATGCAAACAGCGGGTCAATAAGTGGCATAGGAATTTCACCACAGAGCATGCATGCAATGTGTTTTCTTGTATTCTTGATCACATTCAAATGGCCTAAGGCATTAAATCAGCAACGTTACATTAAATTTAACCAGTAGATGAGATGAATTACTATAGCTCATCTCTCCTGCTCTTCTGGAGGTTATATTTGTTCTTTTCTTATTAAAAATAGCTCTTTGTTTTGTTTGTTTTTTGTTTGTTTTTTTGGTTAAACAGAGGTAATGCTGCACCTGAAATTATATAGAAAACCTCCAAAGGAGGTACTTGAATAAAATAACTATTACCGAGGTATGTGTTTTCTTTATATTAGCTTAGTACTGCAGAGATCATGAAGTCGACTACAATAATCCATCGACATTATTTTTAGCTGACACAATAATCATGAATGTGTGTTTTTTAAAGCTATAGTTCTCAGACTAAATATCCCAACTTCTACTGGAACAGGACGAGGATTTAGTATTAGTAGTTAAATCCCGGGCTTTGCTTAGCTCTACATGTACACATCAGTCACAAATCTAATAATAAAACATCCAGCTTCTCCATTCCAAGCCTCGAATGAAAGGAGGCATCCTTTAACATCTGGGTGGGAGTGACTGCAATATTGCATGTCTGTCATCTCTTTAAACGTCTTTGATCTTAGTCCATATTAAATCTTACTCAGTGCTAAGATCGTCCTCAAAGATGTGCGCACTCACATTCACACACACCTTCCAAAGCTGCTGGGTCTTTGATGTTATAAAAAAGACAGTGGTGTCAAATGGGATTGTGCACATTTTATTAGCAGGGCTCATCAACACAGGAAGACGGTTAATTGAGCTGCTGTTAGAAAGCATTTTGTAGCGCTTTTGCATGTTATATAGGTTTAATGTTATCAACATTCTGGCATTTCTTTACATATCAGCCATGCACATGCATCGCTTTTGGCCTTAATCTATCAACAGGCCGACATTTCAGAGGCATCAAACACTAGATGGAGCCCATGGTAAGGCACTTTTTTTAATAATTAAGGACAGACAAGATCCAAGAGAATAAAAAGAGCTCTTTGTCACTGAAAATTAGTTGCCTTCCTGCCATCTGGTCGGCTTGATCTTCAGCCATAGTGAGGATGGTATTATTGAAGTGGACTTTGACTTGCCGCAGCCCCTCATAGGGGCAGATTTTAGCGTCCGGGACAATTAGGCGTCTGGTGACCATTTAGATGCCTCCGAGAGGGAACGGTTTTGTGGTTGAAACTTCAAACCCGCTGTGATTCTCAGACGTAATGACTAATGATGACCAAAGCAGCCGATATCAATCTAACTCTCAAGATGCACAGTTTTCTAAACACAGCGCCTTGCGGGATTATTCTTACTCCTTGGAGTTTTTCATATTTTATCACATTGCAACCACAGGCCTTCGGTGTGGATTTGAAGTCACAGATCATCAGGAAATATGGTGAAGTGGAAGGAAAACGTTGTATGGTTTTCAGCATGTTTTACTACCGGTAATAAAAAAGCCACATTTCTATTGCGACGCCAATGAAGCAATACTTTGTGCCAACTGCATAAAATATTCTGTTCAGCACATTTAGAGACTGATATTTTTGCACATTATTCTTGAGGGGTGTGCAGGGCGATGTGCTCTGTTCGTTTCCCCACACAAATAACATTTTGCATGTAGGACAAACAAACAGGACAACAGGTTTCTGGGGGTGGGGGGGGGGTTATAACATCATCCTTCATAAGTTTGCTGTGTCACCTACTTACCTTGCGGCTAATTGCACACAGAACTTTTTATGACTTTCTTTCAATATTGGCTTTATTCTTGCTCCACAAGGTCAGATTTATACAGCGCAAGAATCTGTTGAGAGGACAACTATTGCTTATGCACTAACAAAGTGGGAAAACCTTGTGAACTGCTGGTAGGAAAGTTGTTCACATATGGGAAACAGCAAACATAAAAGAAGAGGCTCCGGTCAAATGTGACCAAAATTAATTAATAGGCAGAAAACAAACACTGCATGTCATTTTGAATACAGCATTCCCATAGTGCAACACGGTGATACCTGGCTCATGCTGTGAGGAGTACTTCAGGGAAACTTGGGCAGAGCTTCACCTTCTAATGGGACAAAACATATCAAAACTCCAGCCAGATCTGTAGCGGAGTGAGTTAGACAAAAGCATATTCAGCTTTTAGAATGACCCAGTCAAAGCCCAGACCTAAATCTAATTTAGAATATGTGGCATATATGGCAAGACGTCAAAAGGATTGTTTACAGATATGTTCTGTTCAATCTGACTGACCTTGAGGAGAGAGAATTAAAAAATTAAAAAGTTTGTAGATGTACAAAACGAGTTGAGACATATTCCAAAAAACTTGAGCCTGTAACTGCAGCGACACATGGGTCTACAAAGCATTCTGAGGGGACCTACATACAGAGACATTCCACACTTACTTTTCTTATACTTTACAAACAAAACGCCCCCCAAAAAATGAATTGAAGTTGTAAATTGTGGCTGCAAATTGTAAAACATAAAAAGGTTCTAGATGTATGAATGCAGCACCTAATATAATAAGCTGAATAAAACTTTGCAGGCTTGTTGTGCTGGTCGACTCTGACCATATAAAGCAATGCTTTTCTCTTTGCTAGATTCACTGCAGGCTTTCTGTGCCTCTTCCTTTAAGCAGAATTCATTCTGAACGTCTGTAATTACAGCTAATTCCTCCGTCAGAAATCAACTCTGTGCAGTAGTTTCACACCTGCTGTTGTTCTTCTTCAGTGCTCTGCGGTCCTTTGGTTTGTTTCTCCTACTTGGACACTGGAGTTTGATCCACATTATACATTCATGCACACAGCCTGGTAAACCTCCGGAGATGACTGTTGATGCAGGCTGCCTTCCAGTTGTTGGCCTCAGTTCTGATACAAAAACTGCGAGGGTATGTCCATCACTATAAATGACTTTTTCTGCTGAAACTTCAAAGACCGCATCACTAAATCTGTGAAAGGCAGCGGGAGCGATTGAAGCAGCTTACACGGCCCGCACTTCACACCAAGTAATTCTTCTTCTAAAACACCCAATTACTGGACTTAATTTGCTCTCGCCGAGTGTGTCCAGGTGCGCCCGGTCAAGCCTCGGTGTGCAGACGTGCCTTCCTCTCATCTACTGCCAGGGAGCTAAGTGTCAGCACGCGGCCAAAAGCACAACACAGGCTCCTTGTTCCTCTTTTTAACACCCCTCCGCACTGACACAAAGAAAAGAATCTCTGTCACCAGCCTCCGAGGGGCACTGCCGATCCCTCCTCCTGTCATCGCCGGCCCCTGTCAGCGCGTAGATCAGCTAGCACGCTCCATCTCTTATCCGCGCCCCATCATCGCCTTTATCAGCCAGGCTCAGGCCGCATTCCATGCTGTTACATACCTGCGTGTAGAGACACACGTGCAAGCTGAAGGACAGTAGTTCTTTTTATTGGAAACGTCTACGTAAGACCGACTTTATTCAAATCCTAGTCAAGACTGGAAACAAACCCTTAATGTATGAGTAACTTAATTCATGATATTAATCACTTTTTCAGGGTTCCGTCTTTAGAATGGAAGAGTTCAGATTGCTGTGTCCGACTTCAGGAGCGTGCTGATCGTCTTTGTTGACATTATCTCATGCTGCCACCCTTGTTGGCTAAAGTGTTGTTTGACTTGACTCGATTTTCTTGCATGTTTTTGTGGACCAGGAAAAAATAATGCATGAGATGGAGCTGCGCGTGAAGCAACAGTCGGTGGAGTTGGAGAAGGCCAACGACTTGCGCAGGAAGGTGACGCAGGAGAAGGCCCGGCTGGAGATCCACATCGCGTCCCTTGGTGTCGAATTGCAAGAGACAAACAAACGGTATTTTGCAACATCATGCCAAAATTCTGTGCATTTTATTGGGATTTTTAAGACGTGTAAAATTGTTGAAAATCTCATTTGTAGTCAGCCCCTTTTGAGTAAACACTTGTGAATGCAAATAACCATGACCTGTAGAACCACCTGCTATTGGTTTTAAACATCTAGAATCGAGAGGCTGACATTTTTGCACGTTCTTCTTTCCAACGTTTCTCAAGCTCGATCGGATTGGCTGGGGAGCATCCGTGCGGCAGTTTTTAGATTTTTCACAGACTCTCGTTTGGATTTTGGCGTTTACTTGGACTAGGACATTCTAACACATGACCATTACATTGTTGCTCTGGCTGTATGTTTATGTCTGGTAACATTTTCCTTTCACTTCACAGTCATGCACAACTTTGTGTTTTTCTGACATGTAAAATCACGATAAAATAAAGCAGTATGGATAAACTCATGGCACAGCGGCGGCAGTTACTAATGGCTTTAAAGAGGCTTTTTAGAACAGTATTAATAAAATATTCTATTTGAAAGTCTTCTTCAGTCATATTCAGATTTTCTCAGGGAGAATGCAATCCAGTGGGTTGCTAATGACTCATCTCGCTGTTTAGTTTCACTCTTTGAAAAGGAGCAGATTTGACATTTCAGAAAATAACTCGCCAAGGTTGTTTTAACCAAGCTTTTGAATGTGTGCAGGATGATGATGCTGCAGAAGGAGAAAGAACAGCAGAGTGAGCAACACAATGAGAAAGTGATGAATCTCCTGGCCAAACACGAGACAGACATGAGCCACCTACATCAGGAACACGCTCTGTCTGCCGCTAAGGTTTATATTCCCGCAGCATGTCCTCTCTATAAACGTAGGGCTCACTGATCATTGTCATAAAAAACAAAGAACATGTCTTGCAGGCGTCAGAGGTGATAGAGGACTTGGAGAAGACCGTGGCTCAGTTCAAGCAGCAGCTTCAGGAAAGCGAGTACAGAAGACAACAACAAGTCAGAGTAAGCTTAACGAGGGCGTAAGGGGAGCTTAATATCAACTTAAACACATCACAGTTTTTCTTTTGTCTGTGTAGCATTAATGTTGGATTATCTGCTGCACCCATGTTATTTAAAACTTGCCTTCCCTTCAGGATCAAGAGATGAAGTTCCAGCAAGAGAAAGATGAGCTGCAGACTTGCTGTGAGAAAAAGGTTGGGCCATCTTCCTCTCTGCACTCTACTGCTTTGGTGTCATCGTATGAAAATAATGCTTGAATACTGATCACAGGCAAGAGGTTTTATGTATATTTGGTGTTTGAGCCAATAAAATAGGCAGTTATAAGTGTTTTTAAGGAGGGATCAGCTATAATTCCACTTCTACAGTCACAATTACAAACATGCAGGGTTTGTTGAATTCTTCTGGGGCTTCTGCTGGAGGGATGCGCTCCGCTTTGTGATAAACAGGAAGATGCATAGAGGTTATATTTACAAGTAATGTTCAAAGTATGGTATAAAATAGTTCGGAATTGGAAGCAAAGCCTTAAAGATTGCATTGCAAAAGATGACATGCAGCATTTTCTGAGGGATAAACTGTCCCTTAAGTGTGCCCAGACCCACACCTAATTGCCCGAGCTTTCTACGTTTGAAGCCCACTTCAATGTCAGAGTGCAGCCATAAAGCGCAGAGTCCGTGGATCATTGTTAATTACTCTGAGCTGGACCAGACCAGTGGAGGCCAGACTTCTCGGTTAAAGTCTGTGCTGCACCTGGGTCATCTTCAAAGTGCCATTTCTGAAAAGTTTGTATTGGTGGCAGACCAGCCAGCATACATGGGGCCCTTTGACTGATACACCTGCAAAAACTTAGCAGGCCTTTGTACTCTTTATTCGGGGTCAGGGAGATATTTAATTAGGCCGCTCAGAAGTTTAGTTTTTGATGTCTGCTTCGTATTCTTTTCCTTTAATCAGACAGCATTTCTTCTGCCTTTCCTTTAACTTGTCCCAGGTTGCAGGACTCTGACTTGGAAAGTGTTACAGATTAGTTTATTTTTCTTTTTTTTCTTTTTTTTTTGGTTTCTTCTGTAAAGATTCTTATTTAAGCTTCTTTGGACTGCTGTGTGGGCTGCCATGATTCAGTATCTGGCTATTAGAACGGCCCATATGGCTGCCATAGATCCAAAGTGTGAGACGCTGTGAGCAGCCAGACGGTACTTTTGATGGGGTGATAGGGAGGAGAGACGAGAGCGTATGCAGAGGGTCACATAGACAGCAGAGGATTTCCTGAGTGATGTTTGATGGTGTCTTGCTTTTGCACTCGCTTGAACCTCTATCACTGTCCCACTTTCTCTCTCTGTCTTTCAGGTGTTGGCAGTTCACAGTGAGGCTGAGAGGGAGAAAATTGAGGCCAAGAGGAAGATAGCCAAACTAGAAGATGCACTAAGGTACAGCAAAAAAAGAAGCGTTATTTGTTGCTTATATTAAAAAAAATAAATAAAATAAGGTTTGGAAGTAATGTAGTCAGGGTTAAACTTTAGCAAAATTTTGGTTCATCTTAATGTTACCAGAAAAAAAAAGATTAATTTCAAATCTTTGTTTTTTTTTTTTTTTTTTTGGTTTTTTTAAATTTTTCTGGCCCCCAGTTAATTAAAACCCTAAATTCACTTTCTCTGAAATTTTGAATTATACTAAGACCAGTAAAAAATTGGATATACATCACAGAAGCATAACTTGTACTTTGCAGGGGTTCCTTTTGGACCAATTATCCATCAATGCAGTGTGGTAGAGAGGCAGTCAGTCTGCATTAGTGTTAATGAAACCCAGGTCACTTTAATACTGGCCTTCGACTTGATCGTGAATCTTGTTCTACCACATGTTTTCCTTCCACCTAATTTTTGTTTAAAATGCTTTAACCAAACAAAATCAGTAAAATAAATTAAAACCAATCAACATTTGAAATATACATTTGCAGCATTCAAATATGCTTAAAAACAAAAAAAAAAAGTTTTACAAGACATTTTATGAGTTAGAAATAGTTGGCTAATATAAATGTGTGAGTGTGTTTGTGGGTGTGTCTAATGCGATATTTTAGCCATTAGATTAGTATAATCCAACATCACCAAAGCATGTTAAGTTTGGTGACAGGTTCTGAATCGTACATAAAGTCCATGAAGTATGCTATTTATTTCAGAGTTACATCACACACTTTAGCCTTAACTTTCTGAATTCTGCTTTTATTAGAGAGTTGTTTATATCTCTTGACTTGGGTCTTTGATCATGAGAACAGTGGGTATGAATTTTGATTTAAGGTGGAGTTTGGCTTTAACAAGCCAATCCTTTGATCTTTTTATATAACAGAGTTGAACTGCCACATCTGAGGGCTTTGAAAGTGTTTCACATCAGACCTTTACTTGTGAGTGGTTGTATTAAACCCAGCTAGTAATCCTAGATGCATTGCTATCATTTGAAAAAAACTACAAGGCAAACTTGTTTATGGTTATAATGATAGAGATGTTTCATTTACAGCTTCTTGTGTTTTTAAGTTGTAGAAATATAAAGAGAGTCAAATTCAGCTTCCTCTTGTAATCTGGTAAGCTACGGCCCTCGTGCGTGTGCATGCATGCGTGTGTGTGTGTGTGTGTGTGTGTGTGGTTGTTTGTTCTACATGTCCCAGTGTTGGACTAGCGACCGGTCCTGGGTGTATCCTACCCGATTCAAAGCTGTCTCTTTTTTCTTATCTATTTTTTTTTCTTTCTCTATTCAAACCTTTACTGAACGATAAACCACCACATTTAAAACTGTGAGTTTTTGCTACTACCTCAAACTGAATATCTGGGATTTGGATGCTGTTGTGTTTTTTTATGCTGTGTGTCATATCTTCTCTGAAGTGTTATTACTCTTAAAAATGCCATTGGAGTGCATGACGTAGAGTCTATATCAGAGCAGCGAGGCTTGTTAATATACACATAAAATCTCCCTTTTTCCTTTTAGTTGATTCAAGGCCATTTACGATGAGTTTTGTTCAACAATAAACAGTTTAAATACCATGACCTCGGTTTGTTATTTTGTTTGTATTTCCTTTTAATTCCTGTAAAGCACTTTGTATTGCCTTGTTGCTGAAAATGTGCCATATAAATGAATTTACCTTTACCTAAATCCCTCCTACAGTTTTATGAAGCCCCCTGTTTTACGGAGCTTCATTTAACATCTTTTGCAAATCTATTCATACCCCATTTGGATTTTCTCACATTGTGTGACTTTTAAAGTAGAGGATATTGGGATTTTTGTGTGACAAATCATCAGAAGAATTCTCACATAATTATTAAGTGCAGGAAATTATTACCCACTTTTCAAACTTTTTTACTAAGATATACATTTTTATTGAACCTGCTTTCAACTAAAGCTTTATATAACCTCTTATTTTTAGGAAATATTGCAGCATTTTCTTAGGAGACTCTCTCAGATAGCTTTCCACATGAAATATTTGTCCATTCTTCTTTGTAGTATACTCTTACCTGTTTGTTCATTAATGTTCTCTCCCAAACCTCCTCAGAACAGCAGGATTTACACCAATATTGAATTATTTGTTCTTATTTAGCTGACTTTTCAAAGGAGTCTGTTCATTTACACTTTTGAGGGATATCAATTTCAAAGGGACTCCACACTTTTGAAATGCATGAAAAATGTATTTCAACTTAACAACTGGGCTATAGTCAATCAAGTTCAAAGGGGTGTTAATACTTTTGTTAGCACTGTATGAACCCTTTGCCTAAATACTAAACTTCCCAGCCAATCAGAACATCCTCCTCACCCCTTCAGATCCATGTACCTCTGTCAGCAGCAGATTACAGTTCCCCTGCCAAACTCAGAATATGTTCTGCACAATTGAACACAACAGCAGCTCAACCCACGGTGCAGCCTCCGCTCCATCGTACCGTCATCCTCCGTAGGAAGGTTTTAGTTGCGATGTCCTAATGAATTGAGCGCTTTCTTATTGTTTGTGATGAAATTACCTGTCGGTTTAAGGCATACCCAGTTTCACCGTTTTCGTGGGTTTCCGTCACTGTCTAACAAATCGCTTTTTAGCGCTGTTGTATTGAGAATACAGCGGGAACAAAACAAGAGGACATTAGTCGCTGTGCCTGCCTATTGTTTGCCTGTTGCTGTCAAGCCGACGCGGCAAGTAGAGAGAGAGAGGGGAAAAAAAAAAAGCTTTAATGCAGCAGACAGATCGGTCGGTGCATAAATTACTCCCGTTGTTAGCATCAGTAACGAGCCAGTCATTTCCTCGTTTAGAGCTAAACACTCAGAAACGGCAACCGGCCCGCCAGGCTCTTTGCTAATTAAGTACTCGGCCTCCACAGAGACGCGCACACACACACACACACACACACACACACACTAAGCAGTCTGATGTCTTCTACCTGCCTGCTGCCCTGGCAACACTGAAGGCCTTTAAAGGCGATCCAGAGGAACTTCAAAGTCAAAGCGAGACTGCACGCAGGTGTGTGTGAGCATGTTTGTGCGGGTTTGTGCGTGCATGTGTGTGTGTGTGTGTGTGTGTGAGTATGAGGATGGATGGTAAAATTAAATTGAGCCGCTCAAGATGCTTTCTATCTGCCAGGTACTGTGTGGCATGTGTTTTCTCTTGCATCTATGCTGCTGTTGAATTCATAAACGCAACCAGTTCACAGTTGTTTTGCTTTTTTTTATATGTTTATATGTCATTATTATGACGAGAACAGCACCTTGTCTTGCAGTGCAAATAGGCACTGCTGCATCAGATTTATGCCAAGTCTTTGTTACTATGGCAACAACAACAACAAAGAAGTTTCTCTCCACTTCCTTCACCTCGGCGCGCCTTAGATCATTACAGGGCATTAGCATAGAGATGGAGAGGTGCACCACAGAGAGAGGGAAGGTTGTGCATAAAGAGGGGGAGCAGCTTGCCACTTTTTGCAACAATGACCTCAAAACCCCAGTTTTCACAACTCCAGAAAGCCACCTGTCTGGTAAAAAAAAATTGGGGAAAAAACAGCTGCATTCATTCAAGTTCCATTCTTCAACAAATTCTCCATTGTTTTCACGTTTCATGTTTTCCTTTCTGTCACTTTGGCACCAGGTTGGCCTCATCCAAAACTGTGTAAGCCTTAAAAAAAGTCTCAAATATTTTGTTTATTTATGTATTAACAGGTAGCATATTGTTCATAATTTCTCAGTAAACCAGAATATCATCAAAAAGTGAATTTATGTGAGGAATTGAATTCAAAAGTAAGTCTCATAGCTCATAGAGTCATTACACACTGACTGGTATATTTTAAGCATTTACTTCTGTTAATGTTGGTGATTCCTTCGTCTTGGTAAATCTCAAACCCCGGAAATTCGAATGGGACCAACAAAAGGACATTTATTGCAGAAATGTTGACCAACTAAGAACTATGTTTGTGTACAGCATATGCACTCAGTCACTTTTCTAAGTTTGTACATGGCTACAGAGTGGCATAGAGAAAATTAGCCTGTTTCTTTGCTGAGTTATTAAAGGAAATCCCAAGTTGTTTTAATAGCAGCTTTCAGCTTGTTTGCATAGTTGGTTCTGATGAATATAACCAGTAGATTCTCTTTGCGCTTAAAGCAAATTCAGTCAAGTTCAGCCATACCATTAAACCAGGTACTGATGCTTGGTGTGGAAGTGTGGAAGGTAAGGTGCCAAGCCCTGCTGGAAAACATCAGCATCTCCATAAAGTGGTTGTGCACCCTTTTTCCTTCCAATCAACTTTCCTTTAATAGGCTGGGATTCAGCTATCTGCGAGCAAGAAGGTGCTTTAGCCTGGTCCTTTTTCACTTCCCTCCTGGTGAGTGGTGTGAACAACTGTCAGTTCAGCAGGAAGTTCATCTTCCCTTCTTATATATATGTGTATATATATATATATATATATTCCACTTGCAAACTTATCATGCACCTGTGATTGTGTGTGTGTGTGTGTGTGTGTGATTGTGTGTGTGTGTGTGTGTGTGTGTGTGTGTGTGTGTGTGTGTGTGTGTGTGTGTGTGTGTGTGTTTCTCTTTTTGGTGCGCTCTTT